CTTACCACAGATAGTTTAGGAGCAACAGTGTTCTCGGCACTTGTCGTCCAACAGCGCAATCACTCTGCAATCCAGCTGGAACTTGTGGGGACTTCAGATATGCAACTGTACATCAACAGGTCGGAGAACATTTCTATATGCTAAGGTCATGTTGATTTGATTATATGGATGCCATCCTCTGGGAACCCCAAAACTGATGCGAATAAAAAAGTTTTGCAAATAAAAGTTATAGCTTGAATACACAGAATATGGTTTGGCGAATAATCTACTGTTCAAATTTATGTCTTTACATTTTGCCTTTTTTCGTTTGATTTTGGCGTTCTACGAAATAATATTTTCTACTAGCAACTTACGGTATATATTTGCTCATTTTGCAACTGTTTTATACGATTTACAGTATGGCTGAAAAATTTTTGCTGGAAACGGCCGAAAATTCGTGCGGGTGCAGATGTCATCCATGTAATCAAATCAACATGGCCTAATCGAATATAGATGAATCTAAAAAGATGTTCTACACAGATGTAGAAACGGTAGCGAAATATAATTGGAATACCCATGTGATGTGAATGGATATATACTTAATGTGATTTATCTTTACGTTATGGTGATCATCTAATTACTTACAACAAAAGTCTTCGCAAACTAAGAAGCATCATTATAACACTTTTCCATCACCTATTCACTCCAGGTCTGCGACAGAGATGAGCCTCTTCGAGCTTGAAGATTATGAGCTGGACGTTGACGACAACACGGTCATCACGAGGACGGGAAACAACTCCTTACTGCTTGTGTTTGTCAGTGGGATATCCGTGACAGTAACGGCTGAAAAGGTACACATTAACAACACTTTATTTTGATGGGATATGTAGTAGTAGTATACCATATTATTCCAATTTTTTTGCTCAATATATGGATGATTATGTTACTTCTGTACCCCTGATTTTCTATTGTTTTAAGTATCATACATATTGTATTTTTAATGGTGCCAACATATTATAAAGCCTTATTTATTCATTTATCCATACATTCTTTCATTCATTTATTCATTAATTCAAACATAGAACTACATACTAGGAGCAATATTGCCCTTTATTGACTCCACAGGGAATGCTGTTCTTTGAGTTCACTCTGCCACCAGAGTTCTTGCATAAGACCAGAGGCCTGCTGGGACGGTGGGACGGGGATTAGTCCAACGACTTTGAGTCCTTCGATGGGACTGTCCTACCGGCAGACGCTTCGGAAAGGGACGTCTACGAGTTCGGCATCTCATGTGAGAAACTTTGTCACTGTATCTACCTGCTGAGTCTAGCAAAACAAAACAGTATTGAATCAGCTATCCAATATTGCCCTCTCTAAGACACATGCGACGCAATATTACTACTTTTATTTCATTCATTTGTTTATCCACTCATATAACTGGACCTAATTTTCACTACGTATTATACTTATAGCAACTGAAACGTCGTATGAAACAACGTATTTTTAAAGTAGATTACAAGGGACATCAGTATCCACCTATACGTTCAGCTATCACACATTTTATTTATTCTTTCTATGACAAGTGTAACAAAATGTTAGCAGTACCTATAATAAGACAGCTATTACAGATCATGAACTGTCTTCTCTATCTAATGACAAAGGTATCTGTTTCTTTTTAGGGCAAGTTACAGAGGAGGACGGTCCGAAGACATCCCTGTTCTACTACAAGCCCGGCGAGGGAGTGGAGACGTTCAGGAACGACTCGTTCCTGCCGATATTTACAGATGAGGTCATCTTCAGCGACCCAGACCTGCAGGAAAGGGCCCTGGCTGTCTGCGGTAACGTCACTTCCTGTCTCTATGACGTCAGCATGACGAATGACATCGAAGTAGGAGAGGTGTCGGTTAGGATCAGCGACAGCCACAGAGAGGCGGTAGAAAGTAGAGGTAAGTACATGTACCATCTATCTCTGTTTCTCTCTATTGATAGAAAGATACATAGATAGAGATAGATATTATAGATAGATAGAGATACATGATAGATAGATACTTATATTCATACATAGATGTATATAAGTATAGTGGCGGTCGTGTGGCGTAGCGGTGGCGTCTTCGGCTGGGAGCCAAGAGGTCCGGGTTCGAACCCCACCTTGTCACGGACCTTGTGTCATTGGGGAAGGCACTTTACACTACTTTCCTCACTTTACCCAGGTGAAAATGAGTACCTAGCTTCGGTTAGGGCCTTCTCTCGAATAGGACGTTAAATGGAGGCCCCATTTAGGAGAGCCACACCCCACGCATGTTAAAGAACCCATCACATCGAAAATAGTAGGGAACCTTGCCGGTGTGATTGGTTCAAAGCTTACAGTATGGTCTCAGGATTGACATCTTTGAAGAGGTGATAGTCACCTGTTATGTCAATCCTTCCACAAATGTGGTAAATGTTCATAAATAAATAAATGAATACATATATCAGATACAAAACCAGGTAGATGATAGGCAGTAATTAAATATAAGTAGCTAACTAGAAGTCTCATTGATTGGCATAAAGTGAACAAGTATAATGTGCCTTTTCCCTCCAGACAAGTTTCCTCCAAGTATAGAAGGTCCGGAATCTCTCCACTTGACGATTGGGGAACTCCTTCGGGTGACCTTGACAGCAAATGACTCCAGAGGCCTCAACACAACACTTGACCTTGAAGGAGCACCTGCGGGAGTGTTCCTCATGCAGAAGGGTGGCGAAGGAGTCCTGACCTTGAATATGTCGTCGACAGAACCTTTCAATGTCAAGGTGACTGTCAGTAATACTGACAACAGCTCGGCCCTGTACTGGCCTGTAATCTACCTGTGTTCCTGCTTCAATGGCGGTTTCTGCAACGACAGTTATGATCCGGACCCTTCTTTCGTCGGCAACGATACAAGGTACAGTCAATACTAAAAAAACTTGCCCTTGACAACAAAAGGTTAAGGTAGTACCATGCCATTTTTTTAAGGCAATTATGTTTTATAGGGCATAGTATCTCCTTGTACTGTCTTTAACCTCCCAAACTAAAGTCTGAAGGAGTGGGGAAAGCCATTTTCCCAGCCCTTTGTCACAACGTCTAGATAAGTATGCCAGGAATCGAACCCGCAACCTCTTGATCTCCTGACCGGCAGCGTAGCCACACGTCCATTCGAGTATGAAAAGTTCTTCTGAGTGAAATTGCAAGTCATTTTTATGACTACCCATTGCTTTTCCATCTTCAAGGTTCTTTCGGCAACGGTGCAGCTGCAGCGATGGGTTCACCGGAGACCAGTGCGAAACAGACATCGACGCATGCGCTGCGAACTTTGCCCCATGCTTCCCAGGAGTCAACTGCACGGACCTGCCTCCCCCTGCTGACGTGGACGGGTACGAGTGCGGAGAATGCCCGGATGGGTATACCGGAAATGGCACTTTATGTCAAGGTTGGATTGCAGTATATACTTTTCTACCCCCTATCAAATGTTGCTAGAAGAATAGAAGAAATTAGCCAAATAGATTGACTAGAATGCCAGAGGAGATAGCCGGTCAGGGGAGTACAATTTGTAACTTTGGGAGCCTGGTAGAAGGTAACCCGTTCCTTCTTCCACAGAAAATGCGAAGATATCTTTACCGAAAGGGAGTAAATAAAGGGCCTTTTCTTACTCGTGCGTGCTTGTCTGCCTTTCTTCAACAAGAATTCGGAGATCTCATGCCTCCATGTAATATATGAGTTTTTGTAAATGTTTTTATTTGTCTCACTGACTTGACCTTCGTCTTCCTAAGACTTACCAGCATACCAAATATCATCACAATCCATAAAGGCGTTATGAAGTTATGCTGACTATAAATGTGCGGAAACACAAACACACACACAGACACACACACACAGACAAGCCAAAAACAATACCTCCATGTTTTACTTACATTGTACTGTTCGCCGTTGTCATACATCTTCAGTGTTGCTATTGTTGCCAAAGCAGTATGGGTTAGGGGTGAAGTCTGTCATCTCTAATTGCCCCGTGGTTGATCCCTCTGCTTTATTGTTTCACAGATGTAGACGAATGTGAGACGGATGAAGGGTCCCAGTGTCACCACATCTGCGTCAACTTTGTCGGCAATTTCAGCTGTGCGTGTGCAGACGGCTACTACCTGGCCGACGACCGCATTTCTTGCGAAGGTAATCATTTATCGTCCAAGAAGAAAAATCATGAAGTCGTGTCATCTAAATCTAAAGCTTAAAATATTTAAAATGGTCAAAGTTGGTCAGAAAGATCTGAAGTCTGTGTACCTATTTCAAGTATATTAAAGATCCCTTAAGATAATCTTGTTCTTTTGTTCAGATGTCGATGAGTGCGGGCTGCCAAACAACTGTAGTCAACTCTGCATCAACAACAACGGCTCATTTTCCTGTTCATGTCTGGAGAGGTTCGTCCTCGACTCGGACGGGGAATATTGTCAACGTAAGCACCACAGATAAAATCCAATATGGTAAAATATTTAGGACTGACGAAAAATTGATGGAGCTAGTATACAGATGACGACTGAAGATAACACTGGTATATCATATAAAAATATCTCTTGGTCTTCGTTAATAATTCTTTTAGGTTGGTAAATGATTGAATAGCGGCCATATACTATTCTATTTCTTGACTAGACCCTATCATTAGTATGTATATACATTGTATTGCATATGGCCACAGCAAGTACATTTTGTGTATGACATCCTCCGCAGACTCCAAATCTAATGAGAGTGGGCGAATAAAAAACAAGGCGGGCCGTAAAAAACAAGGTTCCTAAATTGTAAAATTTAAACTCAATCATTGTACAAATGGTTTTGATTCAGTGGTAACATTACATATACACAGCCAGCATCACATATCAAAGCATCAAAGTAAGAAACAAAGCATCAAATCAGAGCCTTTTCTTGTCTCCTCTCTTCATAGTAATCTGCCATCCACCTTCCGGCATGGCAACAGGCATCTGCCAATTTTCGGCTTGTTGACCACTGTCAGAAGGCAACAAAATTTCTTTTTTTTTTCCAAAATGAAGGGGAAAATTAATGCGCGCGCTGATGTCATCTATAAAAATTACTTGCTTTGGCCTAACATAACCAGCTGCCGCCGCGCCGCGTGCCTGCGAAGCTGGTGTGTTACGCCGAAAGGCGGTTATACCAGCTATTCAGATACAGATACAGATACAGATAACATAACATAACACAATGCATTAGGTTCAGTGGTGGCACTAATAAATGTAGGGGAAGCTCTTGTAACGATATACCGACGATTTATGACGATATGTACCAATCTAAAATAGTTACAGACCGTGTGGGAATAAACTTTTTGAAAAAAAAAAAAAAACTACAGCCCAGGATCCCTGCGGAAGTGCCGAAGACCCCGGATGTAGTAATGCCACCAGCTGGTGTACCGTGAACTCCACTGGGCATGCGCAGTGCGTCTGCAGCAAGGGGTACGAGATGAGTGAGGACGGGATCACGTGCACAGGTACGGTCTTAGAAAAACTTCACGAGACGCTAATTTTATCTTATATATATAAATGCTTTCTTAGAAGAATGCTGCTTATCTTAAAAGTTTATCTGTGATGGTAGAAATCATTATGAAGCAAGTAGTTCAAACTGTAATTTCCAACGCAAAGAATTAGACTCACCCAAATTTTCGACTGTACAACTGTGGACTGCTCATTCCTTGACAAAGACTGGAGTTGTACAGTCGAAAATTTTGGTTAGTCCAATTTGTTGTGTTGAAAATTACAGTTTAAACTTCCTTCATAAAAGTGATAATTCTTTCTTCCTAAAAATACTCCGCTTATTTTTACAGATGTTTACGTCACTTCGCAATTATTTCCTCATCAGACATCCCATAACATCATGACATTGTATTGTTACAGTTTCAATAGAAAAGACATTAGAATACAACACGTGGAACTCCAAATGTTAATACTGCTCACCCGGAGCATTTTGCCATACCTCTATCGTCTGATTTTACAAGGTTGCCATATACATTATACACTAGACTATCAGATTCTTTCCCAGAATTCACCACATTGAACTTGGAAAAAAATTTAAATCCATATTGACTTGTGACAACCCCTACATGCTATACATAGGAGTATATATTAAAGACTGTAAGGATATTAGAAACTCCTCCAACGATTGTATAAGTTGATACCTATCTCATACTAGCCACCTTTGTATTAGGTTAGCCTTATGAAAACGTAGTTGTCTTGTACTTGCTTAAGTTAGTAGATGTCATACTTTGTACACTGTACAACTGTTGCGCAATAAAGATATTATATTATGATGTAATACTGACTAGCTGGTACTGATAATTTTCTTTCATCCAGACAAAGATGAGTGCGCAACAGGAGAAAACCACTGTGACCAGCTGTGTGAGAACAGGCCAGGATCCTATGGGTGTGCCTGTGAGGAGGGGTACATTCTAACAGACGACCCCGTACGGCCCTGTCAAGGTATATACATCTCATGTTACTGTTAACGTGCTGCGTTATTTTTAACCATTTAAGCCACTCCAATTTAATTTGTTGGTTCTCGGATTTTTTCATAAAAGATACAAAGCGACAGGGCGAAAAATAGAAATAAAAACAGGTGTAGGCTTCCTATGATAACCCCAAATGCTATGATAGGAGTCATAAAGTCAACACAAAAGGCTAGGTTAATATTTAAACATATTTAAACAATTTTGAACTTTTAATCAAACTATTGCATTGATGATTGAAAAACTGTGAGAACTAGGAAGAAAATGACTTTCCTCAACTGTTGGAGGCAAAATCTTAGCATTTCTGAGTTGATTCAGGATCAGAATCTTTTTTTTTTGTAAACCGGAAAAAATGAAGAGGCGAATCCGAGAACCAACAAATTAAATTGTTGTGGCCTTACAATGAGAACCATTGACTATACTGTGTAGTGCAATCATGAGAGCAAAAGACGTTTATTATGTTTACCGAAGGAAACATATTATATTTGCTCTATTTCCTCTTCCTCCTCTTCCGTTCCAAACACCTAAAAATCGTCGATATTTTCATAACTAGAGCTTAAAAGAAAATGAAATTCAGCATGCTGGTAGGTTGGTACGTAAGACACTGAACCGCTGTCATTTCGGCCAACATAGATGTGAAAAAATGACTTTATTTGAAAAAAATGGGTGAAAAAAGTTGCATTTTAAGCCAAAAATCGAACAAAAAGAACGCGTTTGGAACATTCGAACAACCATGGAACAATGGAACAGCGTGTTCGATAACCGCGGGTCATTGACCCTAGCGCTACGCACGGAACACCCGAGCTTTCCAAATATGGGCATCCGCCCTCGTATGACACGGGAGATTGCTGGACCAATGTCTGTGGTAAGTTTTCCTTTTCCTTCGTAAAAAGCACTCATAATTTACTAGCTCCTGACGTGATAGAATCTCGTATGTATAAAGATTCAGGCTTGTTGCCGTTTAGAAAATAAAGTAAACAGAATTGTGTTCATCCGTAAATATTGTCGACTTTGTAATGTAGGTGCGGGGCCGGCCGGAGAGGGGGGCGTTTGTTTACGTCTATATAAACATGGATATAACATTACATTTTGTCAGACAGTTTCAATCTTTTTCGGGATAACACAGAACAGTTAATGGGATAAGCATCAAATCGGGATTTATCGGGATATCCCGCGGGATTTTTCGGGAACCATGTTG